GGGGCGGGGCTCAGGGTCATGGGGCGGGGCTTCGCGCTGAGGCAGTGGTGTTTGGTTAAGCTGTTACGCTTCCACCTGGCTCTTGGGGGCGGGACCTAGGACCCCGGGGGCGGGGCTTGGTGCCGAGGCAGTGATCTGGCGGGGGAAACCGTTACTGATGCCTCCAGCCTGGCCGCAGGGCCCGTCCCCCGCCCTCGGGCTCCCCGAGTGCCCTCCTCCTTTGCCAGGCCAGACGCGCCGTGTGTGCTCGGTGCTCGGGCCCTGGGGTCGAGCTGCCTGGCGCTGACCGCGGGGCTCGTCCTGCCCCCCGTCGATTCTAGCGGAGCTGGTGGTGGACAAGGCCATGGAGCTGAAGTACGTCGGCGGCGTGTACGGGGGGAACATCAAGCCCACGCCCTTCCTGTGCCTGACCCTGAAGATGCTGCAGATCCAGCCCGAGAAGGACATCATCGTGGAGTTCATCAAGAACGAAGACTTCAAGTAAGCGAGGCAGGTCGCTGTCCCCGCCCCGGGAGCTGTCGGGCCAGGCAGGCGGACGTGGGAGGCGGGCAGCGACAATGCAGCTGAGCACCCGGCGGGGCCAGAACAGGGCTCCCCTGCGGGGAGTGTCCCGTTTCCCAGGTGCCGTGCACAAGCCTGTCTGGTAACGCCCGCTTTCCAAGTGTGAGCTCTTTGCTCGGGTTGCCCTCCTGCTTGTGCTTGTTTCCTTTCGTTCATGATGCGCACCTGTCTTTGTCCGTGCGTGAGCCGTGTGTTAAAGTGGCTACGGGGGCAGATCCGGGGCGCGGTAGCACCCCCCCTTTTGGGTTGGATCATAGAGTGGGAACCTCTGGGGACTTCTTTGAAGTCCTTAGAGCAGGTGAGAATCCCCCCTTCCCTTCTGGGCTCAGTCATGTCTCCCCCGCCACTTCCCTGCTCCTTCCTGGCCTCAGCTGGGACGGTGGCAGTAGCCAAGACAAGGGGGTTTCCCCTCCCTATGTCTGCTTCCAAGGGGCAAGGCTAGGTGGGGAAACCCACCCTTGGCCTATTTCCACTGTTCCTGCTGTGCCGAAC